AGAACGACCTACACCGGTTATCGTTGGCTTATAATATTGGATGCTGTCGCTAAAAACGACATGCACAGGTCAATTTCTATAGGTACCAATCGTATTAGATTCTATCATGTCTCTATGCTCCATCAACGCCCAGACCTTCCTTGGAAAAATACTCTACATCAAATTCAAGTCGCTCGCTGCTTAATGTGCACCTGTAGCGGTGGCTTTACCCACAACGCTAGGATCTTCTGGTTGTGCCAGTTCTTGGAGCTCTCATCAAGGGTCAGATCAAAATTCCACAGGACCTTAGCCAGTATGGACCTCATCTCGTCTGTTTGAAAACCGTTAGTTATCATCTACTGTTGGAAGTACTCCTACTACTCTGTAAACCGAATCGGCTGTAGAACCCTTCTGAGCAGGTACCTGTTCTTTGCTCTCTGCACTAGAAATGGGAGAAGAAAGGAGTAGGAAAGGGAAGAGGTCACTTACGCATTGCCAGGTTTTGACCAATGCAGTCTCGTCGCCCTACACTGAACGGCTTATGGATTTCTCGCCTATCATTGAAGAAGGGAGACTTGGGGTCCGATATCGACTCAGGAAGCCATCGCTCTGGAAGGAATTCTTGTGGTCGATAATAGTTCCTCGGAGAGCGGAAAGCCGCCAGTTGGGGCACGCTCACTTGCGTCTAGACATGAAATCAGTTTCTACTCTACAGGGTCAATTGGTAGTAGTCGGACTAACCTTCGCAGGAACCATAACACCGGCAATCTGGACCGGGGGGCCATCAGGAACAACGCGCAGCATACCCAAGGGGAGAGGAGGGAAGATGCGCAGCCCTTCTTGGAGACAGGCCATCAAATAAGGTAGCTTCGCCCGGGTGTCGTCGAAAGTAATTTCGTCGTCGGACTTGAAGGTTTCACGGATTTCCTGTGTAACTCTCTTGAGGGCATGGGGTGTCTTCAATAGCCAGTAGGTGACACCACTCAGCAGAGTTGCCGTAGTCTCCGATCCGGCAAGCATAATCAGGTCAGCGTTGCTGGCGAGCTCATCATCCTTCATCTCGTGTTCCTGTCCTCGAGATCGTAGCATAAAGTCCATGAAATCGCCGCGGTCAGGCTGCTTCTTGTTGTAGATCCGATCCATGGTCATTTTAGACGCAAATGCGTAGTGCTTCTTCTCAGCATTGCGGATCTGGGGTCCCGCAAGGAACATGAGCACACTGCCTACTAACGGGAATATACTGCTAAAGGCCATGATGGGCAAAAGCTTGATGATGTTGCCGATGTTGTCCAGCCATGCATTACTCTTCCCTTCCGCTAAACCCTGCAACGGAGTGCCGTACGCAAGATCGGCGATCAGATCGAAAGTCGTGAAGTTATACCATCTTACCATATTAACAGACTCATCGAGCGTCGACTTCTCTCGCAGTCTGGTTATGAGAAGATCGATATAAACGCGGATCAGGGGTTCCTGGAGACGCAAAGCTTTATCCGAGAAGGCCGGCAGCATAGCCCGTCGATAACGGAAGTGATCCTTAGAGTCAGAGAAAACAATCTTCTTCGAGTCCAACTTGAGCCCGGGGAAATGTTTTGGAAATTCGGCATGTCCGTGGCCGTAGATATCCTTCCAGGCTTCGGGGCGAATGAAGGCGACCTCGTTGGCGTTCACCCGCACCACCTCGCCATATTTCTCGTGGAATTCGGCGTACTTGAACTCGAGCACTCCGCGGAACTTATACCAAGACCTGAGCCCATTGATCGCAATCCATAGCGGCGGTCCCGGGATGTGACGAAGCGGGTGGAAGTAGAGGTTGTAGACCGCAGTGACGAATAGCTGTATGAACAGGAAAGCCGTGAGAGCAAGCGCCAGGCGACCGATACCTTGCCATGATGTGAGATCGAACTGACCGAGGGTGCGGGCAATTGGCCCCGGCAAGTCAGCCATCTTCAACGATACCTCGTACAAGAAAAATGATGAATGACTCCCAAAGCTTCACGTGCATCTTGAAAGCTGTGCTTGCGCTTTGCCTATATATGTATATGAACCTGCCTAGTGTAGGAATTGGCCTGCTACCAAGCTGACCCCTCACCCCAGTTATGACAAATTAGCTGCCCAATCCCTTAGTGGCGCTTCTATCGTGGCATATTTGCCAGGATTACGCGGATGCAAATTCTAGTGCGCGTTTCTCCGGCATCCGGCGCCAGTATGGCAACTGAGAACTTGTAAGCTGACCATTACGCATTCACTGACTGTACAATAACAGATATAAAATGCGTTAGCGAAGAGCCGCGTTGTGAGATCTTAAAATTAGCGTGGAAATCAAAGACCCGAAGGATTACACGATCTGCCGTACCCATAGAAGTAACAAACCTAACATACTTGCTCTCATATATTTACGGGGTTTAAAATGCTAGATAGGTATATGTAAGGTACACATATAGCGTCCTCTCTACATCCTAAACACTATATATATCCTGCAACATACGATCCGATCCTATGATATTCGAGGTTATTAACATGATAGCTGTTCATTGCCAAGCTATTACATTACTACGATAACACAGGTGTACTCATGATGCGAGAAATAATATAAAGTTCTACTTGAATGGCCGCTTTCTTTAGTGTAATGTAACACAAAGGGCCCTAAAGTCAGCCAAGAAGCTCTTCCTCCTTATACGATCAGTGCATTTACCTGCATATTTATACGAATCTTGCAGATGCCAAGATACATTGGGTTAGGTAATCATCCTAAACCCAAGCAATCGGTCGTAGTGAATTCCCGTGTAACCTTATCTAGAACGCTGCCCAGTCCATCTTTCCACTAACTAAGATGCCCTTACTGCATATAGGTAGGCAGGCAATTGACTATTTTACCTTTTTACTTGTCGTTCGACCATCTCATATTCCTATCTGCGTAAACGCGGCATCTAGACTCTTTCGTATACATGAGGTATGGATGAAATGCCCAAGATTCGGATTTACCGACCATCAACCGACATACGGACAACACTACTATACGGCAAGGACTGCGTCGTTCAGGGTTTGCTTCGGTCCCGATGGCCCGAGAGTGTTATCTCAATTTATTGGCGTTATATGTAGGTTGTTCTATCCGTCTATGAAATCTCATGCCACGAATCCCGCACACGCCAAACGAGACTCGCCCTCGGCATGAACCAAAACGGATAGGTGGTAGACAAAGAAGATGACCCGGGTGGGAGTGAGAGGAAGTGATGCATCCCGCCGCCGAGTTGTTCGGAGTTCCCTGATAGGAAGTCTTTGAGGCTATGCCAATGCTGCCCTCACTTTGCATATATATGGACGGCTTTGCAGCCGAGGCCCATTTTTGCCCTCATACTGCATGATACTCTGCTGGGGTTGGGTGTGACTTCGCTTCGTCTGGTCGTCCATCGTTCATATTATCGTAAGGATGTACCGTAAAGGATGTTTATCGGGAGTTTTCGTCTTTTCGTTCTCCGGCGTAACTATTCACAGCTGATTACAAACAAAACTCTTGGAAGCAGGCTTGCGCCTCGTTCCAGTCCAATATAGCACATTGAAGTAGGTTGTCCTCGGTGCAGTCGTCCTGGCGTTTGGCTATCGTCTCTAATGACCTTCCTGCGCAGAGGTAACCGAAACATGCTGAACTGTCCTGCCCGGTAGTAGTGCAGGCGTCAATGGCGTCCTTGGTGCAGCCTAGGTCTCGAAGCTTGATAGGGTTGACAGAGCCGATGTCCTCTCCTACCACCATGGCAATGGCAGGTGACGTGCCCGCGGCAACAGCCATAGCAGTCTGAAAAAAGATCGAACCTCTCATCTTGGTAATGTTGGACTATACGCAAGACTTAGGTATACGTTATATATGTGTCTGGATCCAGAAAGTAAAGAGCGAAGAAAGGGAGACAGAACTAGTTGGCTGAATGTTTTCCCCTAATTCTAGTCCGTGATCTGCGAAGAGCGACGATCTACCATTGCTCTTTATATGAGGGACTGGGAAAAGCCCATGCTGCTCATCATCGTCTTGACGAGTTGCACTGGTATCCAAATAGGGGTTGGGGCCGTCGCAGGTCCCAGAGTGCGAGTTCTGAAACCGCGACCCCAACTCGGATGCCAAGATCATGCGACACGTGCGAGATCCCCTGCGAAAGTCTCAAACCAACTTGTTTGAAGATATCTACATCAGCCTATCTCAATGATCTGACTGGAATCCCAGAGTGATCACCGAAACGCACTCGTTGCTGGTATACAGCGCCGGCATAATCTGCATAAAACACTAGCATCGCGCTCGAGTATAACATCTAGCCTATATACCTACCCCGATAGAGCCTATATAACCAGACTTGGACCTATCGCATCTGATGTCTCTGAAATACTAAACCTTCAGTTTTGTGGTGGCAATTCAAGTTTACGCAATCCTGGGTGAATGCGTGTCAGAAGATCTGCTACTGGGATCTGAAGCATGGCATCTGTTACAGCTGTTATACCTAGACCTACGCACCATGTCATCTAACAGAGCTATCTACATCCGTATGGCTTTCCGGCTCGGCATGCACGATAATAGCCCTGTCACAATCATCTGCATTCTAGGGTTCATCTGAAATAGCATGCAGAAACGCACTATGAAGTAAACCTGCTGCCTGTCCTGCCCGTCTCATGAATTGATAAGACGTGCTGTTTCATCCCCTTACTGATGACTGGGCGTATCAGAACTACGTGCATCCTGGGAATACGACGATAAAGAAGTCGTCACTTATATCTTAACTAGGTCCGACCGCGGCCAGCACCATCTTAGTTTTCCTCTGTTCTCACATTGCCGGCTGTTATCACGCCATAACAAGCTTATGAGGAAGACGGCCGAATCAGCTATTCAGACGTAAGTGCGTGATACTGGGAGCAATAATTGTGTATCCACCCAGTCCTTATGTTGCTATAGTCGTTTTTAACTTTTGAAGGCTTTTAAAGTAAGTAGGTTATAGATTAATCTAGAGGTAACAACGGCACAACTGAACTCGCCAATCTCATGACTCCTGATAGCTCAGTTGGTAGAGCGTTGGACTGTAATTGAAGCAAATCATAGATTATCCACAGGTCGCGTGTTCGACTCACGCTCGGGAGACACTTTTTTTCGTTTCCACACTCATACTCTGAGATAGATTATTCCTCATGAATATAACTGGTTGGGTTTGGTTGGCCGACCGCAAAGCTTATGATAAAAGAACAAAAAGGAAGCTCTACTTAATTTGCTGCTGTGTTGATATGCTTATCGCAATACCATTCATTCTTAGATGAACTTCCCTCCTATGTTTGTGCAACTAGCAATAATGAATAGATTAAAAAGCTGTGTGTGATATGCAGAGAGGAAATGGCTTTATTCACTACATTGCCACACTTACTGCCCTAGGAGTTAGTTGAGCTTTCAAACCCTTTCTTCTATTTACTCTAAAGCTCTCTCATAGATAGCTCAGGATGTTCAGCATGAGAATACCTCCTCCACTTTTAGTTATCAAGTCCGAGATTGTTAAGTGTTTACTGTTATAATCAATCAACTCACGGTTTTTGGTTTTTTTTTCTCTCCATTATAACAATTTGTATCGGTGTATTGCTAGGTCGTCCCAGTAGCATGTGATGTGAATCGCAAAGACCGCCGTTAGCCAAGTGCGCATAGATTCCTGAAGATATAGACAAGGTTACTTACTGATGGATGGTCTTTCAAGGTAATTGATATGTATTAACCGCTACACAATTCTATCTACGTCTTTGGCTTGTGTTTTTTTTACCAACAAGCAAACCTACATTTCAGAGACAATTATAATTCTTTATCAGCTGGCGAGATTTGTTCAGGTACCTATAGATCGCAGTCTCATTGTTCACTGGCTCCGGCTACTTGACTACTTGACGCCTTAACATATATAAAGTCTTGACAGGTCAAAAGGAAAAAAACAGGCTGAGTAGTAGGTACATGATATTCTCATGCCGATTAAGAAAGGGAATTGTTTAAGAATGGACCAGTTACAGAGTGGTAGGTATATGCGTACTAAATTGGGTATGATCGGTACCGGTGCACTGGTTAGTACTGGTCATAGCTCTGAATATGGTAGACTAGCTGCGGTCATTATTAGCCCAAGACCCATTGACAGCCTTACTTCCCAGGTGGTTAGGAGGTACCTTTCCCCAGCCGCCCAGTGAGGTAGGTAGCCACTGCAGCTACCTAAGGCATTGTGACCTCAGTGTTAATTAAGTATGTACCTATGCAAGGTTTGCCTTGGCATTTAGCATTTCACATTTCGCATTTCACCATCGACAGCCGCCTTTCACAACACCATCAGCCTTTCCTCACTGCGACGGTCAACCCAAACTCTGCATCTTCCATTGAGTACCCTTTACCGCGCTCTGGTCTTCCTATCTCGGCCCACCTAGCGGATTTACCACCCTCTGTGTCTTGTTTTGCTACGCGAGCCTCTTCGTCGCCGACATATATCCACGTTGCCGACGCGCCCATCTCCCGACCAACCTATCTCGACCCTTGGGCAGTAGGCAGCAGGCGAGAGAAGCAAATACTAACTCAGGTGCTACATAGACAATCACCAGGTAAGCAAACATCTACCGCTTTCTCGTATTGCCGCCATTGTTCTCCCTTGCCTTGTATTCCCTTCTGTTTCCTACGTGCGTAGTGATGCGAGCGTAACATGAACGCGCTTCCCCCCAAGGCTGTCTAACAGAGTGCGGCCTTTCCCGGTAGCTAACTATGGAATCATTGCGTGTAGCTGACAGATCATCCCTCGTCATGTCCGACACCGCTCATAAGGATCGCGATGTCGCTGCCGAAGACCCTCTTGTCGCCGAAGAGGGCAACGATGAGGTGCGCCCTTCCCCCTTCCACCCTGGACGGTGGCCCTCGCGGTGATATAGCTAGCAAGGCTGGACCAAGAACAAGTGCAGGCCATCTGGTCGGCTAACCCTCGCTTGATGATCAAACAGGAAGAGATATCAGCCATGAAGCGCCGCGTGGCCGAGATGGAGCAGGAGGCTGCCAAGTTGCGCGAGATGCACGCTGCCCTCGAGGAGAAGAATCAGGAGGCTTCAGACGACCGTAACGATGTCGATAACCGCAGCATCTTCGTCGGCAATGTCGACTATTCCGTCTCCCCCGAGGAAATCCAAGCCCACTTCCAGAGCTGCGGCTCCATAAACCGAGTCACCATCCTGCTGGACAAGTTCACCGGCCAACCTAAAGGGTACTGGTTCCTCCCTTTTATCGCATTATGGTTCCCCTTTGCCCCTGAGTCTTTTATGTTTGTTTTTAGCTTTATAACAACCAGCACTATATGCCACGGCAACCTCTAACGGTGGCTAATCTCATGCGACAGATACGCTTACGTCGAATTTACTGAACCTAGTTTGGTGGCGCAAGCTCTGGTTCTTAACGACAGCGTTCTGAAAGGCCGAAACATCAAGGTTACGCCGAAGCGCACCAACATACCGGGCATGAGCCGTGGACGTGGACGTGGTAGAGGAGGCTTTGGGAGGGGTTTCCATGGCGGAAGAGGTGGTTATGCTCCTCGGGGCGGATATCGTGGTGGATACCGGGCTAGAGGCCATGGTGGTTTCACACCCTACTAATTTTGATGGCCTTTTAGAGCAGAGCATGGTTTCCGGATATTGTTTATCGACCTTGGCCGGGCACTGCTATATTATCGATTGTACCACCAGAACAAGACGCTATCAGGAACAACTTGTGGCATGGATCCCACGGGACTACCACCGTGGGTATGCTATTGCTTGTCACATCTTACTTTGACCCGGTTTGCCACGCCCCCCCTGAGTCATACCCCAGGATACTACATCGTCATGCGCGAATACAGACATCCGGTTTCAGCTGGTCCAATATCACGGATAGACAAGAATTCGCTTCAGCTTCAGCTGTATACCTCTATCCTTCATTTCAAACAAACGCTACCTCTCACTTAACACCGTAATTGTCACGGAGGTCAACAATAGGTACTTAGACAATACGTGGCAGACTCGCAGAGACCTAGTGTGCATTGTGCATATATTTCTTTCCCTTATGCGACAAATCATCTCAGCACCCTGTCTCCAAAACTCGCATCGAGGCTGAATTGCTCGTTAAACACTATAATAAAAGGCAAAAAGCTTGCTTTGGAGACTAGAATCGGTGCGAAAGAAGTGGAAAAATACCTTGACAGCAGCTGGGCTATCGGACCTGCGGTTTATTCTTGGATGTAGTCAGATCTGGTGAACTTCCCGATCTGGGTCCCACTGTTCCTAAGGGACGTCTGGTCAGGTTATCCTAATCGGACACTGGACGCGCTACGAACTGTAGCACGGTAGCAGTCGGGATCTCATCAGTGCTAGACGGGATGAGAATCGGATTATCAATAGGTTCAGTCAAATATAAATACCCAACTACATACAGCACGACGCGTGCAGAAGTAATCATCCGTGAATTTTGCCAGCTAGCTCTCAGCTTGAACCGTAAATCTTTAAGAGAATGAACGTATGTTTCTGTTCATATGACCCGTCTATCTACTACAACCGGACGAAAGCTCCGACTATGACTATAGCTACTCAATCGCAAGTTCTCTATATCTTCTTCATTGGGGAAGTATAAAATCACACGTATCAGTTGCTACTAATAAGACATTCCGGGCAGAACGCTCCACTCAAGTAGTAGGTAGGTATGTACGTACATGCAGTAAAATGAGCTACCGGTGAACTTCGCCGCATACGGCTCTTTTTGAAGTCTACGCGCCCGCCACAAGAGGAACGGTCTGGCATCGCATATTAAAGAGAGTAGAAGATAGATTGGGATATCTATCATTCGTAATAAAAGCTTTTTTATAGGTAATTTCTGATACAACCTCTCGTCGTTTTAATATTGAATCGAGGAAGGAGGTTGTTGCTGATGTATTAGAGTTATTAGCCCCTGTTGAAAGTTGTTGAAAAGTTTCCGAAGTGGATGGCTTACGGGGGTGAATTGGCATTTTCGTGTTGAAGATAGATATATAGATATGTATTGGCTATTGTAGATTCTTTTTGTTCGTTGAGTAATTGGTATGTCTATTGGGCCTTGAGAAAAGTTGTTTGATGAAGATTCAGTCTCTATATACACAGCCTCTCCCTTTCCCCCTCTTAAGTTTTCTCAAAGATTCTAATTCCAAGTCGAATTCTAGCTAATTAATATTAATAGTAGCAAGTTAGAACTTCGTTTGGGCATTGCGTCTTCAATATGTAGGTACCCACAGGAAGGCAAGCAAGCGTCCATTCCACCTCTACTTATTGAGGGGTTCTTCAGCTAGACATAGAGGAGTTCGTTATGGGATAGCATGTAGAATATAGACGTGTACGTGCTTGTGAGGAAGCAACTGTTGGATCTTTTGTTACATTTTACGGATGCTGTTAGGCATTCGCTCTCGTCTACTAGGACGTGAACATGAGCCCCGAGACGGCAACAATTGACCACGAGTTGCTCCGCTGGTGCGATTCTTAACATGATCAGATTTTACTTGGCGATTATATCACTTCTGACAGGATAGTTAATAGGCAGGATGTCCGGAGTGGGATGCAGCCTTCTGACTCTTGAAGCGAGAGATGCAAGCTCTAAGAATTTTCGAGTACAGTTTCAGCACATTACCCAAAGCCGTCGAATAGCTCTTGGAACATGATACGTACCGGAGTCGTTTTCTCGCTCTCCTAGATGAAGTGGCGGGAGTGCTAGAATACTGGGCTGCGGTACTACCAGGAAGACTTTCCAGGAGAATCTTGACGTTTCCAACATGTGATGACCATGCTCCTACGCGAGCGTTTATGATAACGTTGCGTGATTATTTATATGAGTTCTACACCGCTATATCTGAACGCTGAGACACCGAAAGTGTTCAATTTGATATACATAAGTATCTACCTGAGTAGATCATTTTACCCTTCAAACAGCTATCTACATAGATCCTCTCCATTTCTTCACGTACGTTATAAATGACGGCGATAACGATGATGACGGCCAGGGTGAGGAGAATTAATACGAAGAAGAAAAGAAGTCGAAATGCGACCGGGGGGGGGGCGGCGTAGACAGATCTCTTCTGAGCCGCAGCCGGAATT